GAACAATTGTTTAAAGGATGTACGATGGAATTAACTTCGTGTGTACGTGAAGTTTAAAGAGGAATTTAGAAGAATTGCACTGAAAAATAATGACCGTTATCGCGTAGGGAAAAGAATGGCCGACGCGAGTTCTATTTGGTCTGAAGGGAGATCCGTTTTTTTTTTTTTTTTCAAAAGGGGTATAAAAAATGCATACTATGACTTTCATACGTCCCTCTTCTCGTTAATGCCCATTGTGTAAATGAACGTACAATGGACGTTTGTTTTTTTCTCTTCTTTGTCTCCTTTTCGTTCTTTAGCTCTCCAGATTGAGAGACAAAGAGGAGATTCATTTCTTCGGTTTGGTATATTTCAATTTCAGTTGAGGATATTGCCTCGTCAACTTGCGTCTGTCTAACACGTGCAAAACATTCTCTTGGCCCAACTGAATTTAGGGTTGCCTTCGAGCAATAGCGGTTCTCATTGTTCCTGTTTATCAGTCTTCTCTAAAATTAAGCTTGTCGTTGAAGTGTCTAATCTCGTTGGATATTAAATTCGTACAAAGTTAAATAAGTTTCTTCTGCAGTCTAGAATTCAAATTTATCGCATAAACCTTAATTTAACAATAAGTGATCGATATCTTGCAATAAAAAGTGCGTATGGGAAAGTTGTGTCAAGCATCGGCCGGACGAAAGCTTAAAATTTCGAGGTTATATAGACAGAGTACTGCTATTATTAGTACCAGGATAAACACAGTCATTTCTCTGTAAATAGAGCAATTCAAACGCCTATCCTTGAGAGAGAGAGAAGGCGCAGTACTTTGGTCAGTTCAAGGTACGCGTGCAGAAAGGTCAGGGTACCGTTTGGTATTTCAAACTGTCCCCTAAAACAACGTTAAAGACACAGATGCTTGTACGATGCTTGCCATTACCAAAATATGTCGGAGCATAGAGTAATTATCATCTGCAATTATCTCTTAATTATTCTAATATAATTCTCACTATTATATATATATATATTTATATATTATATTATATATTATTATATATTATATTATATATTATTATATATTATATAATTCTCACTATTATATATTTATATATATGTTATATATATAACTATTCTACTAATATAATCTCTTTTTATCTCTGTCTTAGGTGAATCCGGACTAGGAAAATCAACTTTGATCAATTCGATGTTCCTCGCTGATATATACAGTGCCGAGTACCCTGGCCCTAGCCTTAGGGTTAAAAAAACCGTAGCCGTAGAGACTAGCAAAGTGTTGTTAAAGGAGAACGGTGTAAATCTCACTCTGACTGTCGTTGACACACCTGGATTTGGTGATGCAGTTGATAACAGCAATTGGTAATTTCAAGTTCTACATCTTGTTACATCTTTACACTTTGCTATTATATTTTCCAAGTTGTATACCTTATTATATTTTTACACCTTGCTATTATATATTTAGGAATATGAGGTTGTTATTTTATCATCATTATTATCATTGTTGTTATTATTATTATTAATCCTTTATTCTATGATCTGAAACCAGATGTACGAATAATAAGTTCTTTCATTTATAAAGTTCAAGATGTACTTTAGTGTATAGAATTAAACTACAGGGACGAAGAAGATATTTTTGTTTCTCTCTCCCTCTCTCTCTCTCAGTTGGGTACCAGTGATCGAATTCTTTATTCTGTAATCTGGAACCAGATGTACAAATAATAAGTTGTAATTTATAAAGTTCAAGATACATTCCAAATAAAATGAATGGCACCTTAGTTGTGTATAGGATGAAACTACAGTTGTAAAGAAGATATTGGTGTTTCAGTTGGGTACCAGTGATCGAGTATATCGAATCAAAATACGAGGAGTTCCTGAACGCGGAGTCTCGCGTTGTGAGACGGCAGATCCCAGACAGCCGAGTACATTGTTGCCTGTACTTTGTCGCACCCTCGGGCCACGGTTTGAAACCGTTGGACGTAGAGTTTATGCAGCGTCTTCACGATAAAGTTAACATTATACCTGTCATCGCGAAGGCAGATACCATGACGCCAGATGAATGTGCTCATTTTAAGAAACAGGTTCGTATTGTTATTGTTGAAGAGTAAAACCGGTTGTAATCACATATCGACGAATAAACTTGTTAAAGCCTCTCGCTGCTTTGCATTGCACGTTCATTGCCGTTGGCATATGATGTAATATACTCCTGTATATTATCATTAATACGACAACGATATATTTTTTTAGCAATCAGCTTGTTAAAAAAGAAAAAAAAAAAAAGAGAAATGAAATCTTCGAGCATCATTGAAGTTAAAATTGCTGTTGGTTGTTTAGATTTTGAACGAGATAGCGCAGCACAAGATCAAAATTTACGAATTCCCGGAAGTGGAAGAGGAGGAGGAAAGTAAACTGCACAAAGTTCTCAGAGAAAGAGTACCGTTTGCAGTTGTGGGTGCAAATACTGTGGTCGAGCACGACGGCAGGAAAGTTCGTGGAAGGAAATATCCTTGGGGGATTGCAGAAGGTATACACAACTCCGGGCGCTTGACTGCCGGGAATTTTTTTTTTTCTTTTTTTTTGTATTTTTTAACTTTATCAAATTTCGAGGAAGTAACACGTCTTTCGTTCTTTTTTCTTTCTTGACGCTATAGTTGAAAATTTGGAACACTGCGATTTCATAGCGCTGCGAAACATGGTGATCAGAACTCATCTGCAAGATTTGAAAGACGTGACAAATAACGTGCACTATGAGAATTTTCGATGTCGCACGTTAGCCGGCGTTGGAGTCGATGGAAAACCAACGAAAGTTTCCAATAAGTAAGTGTACCCTTCATACACGATGGTTAGTTACTACGTAAGACTGTTGAAAAAGAAATATGTGAAATTAATATGTATACTAAGACTAAAAATACGAAGATTAACTGTTTGAAGATCCCAGAAAACAAAATTGTGACTTCTTTTTGTTTTCTTTTTTTTTTATTTTTTGTTTCAAAGCAGACAATACTGAATACTTGTAATTTTATATTCGTTTCTTTCCTTTCTTTCTTTCTTTTTTTTTTTTTCTTTCACATAGTACAGTTTAAAAAGCTTGTGCATGCAAACTATTAAAAGATAAAGATTACATCTGTAATATAAATATGTTTGAATCAGATATCGTGACAGTCAACTTATTAATACATTGTAATTTAGGCTAGAAATGAAAGTGATCCTGAAAACACTTTTTTTAATAGTATATCTTACACGTAAAATGTTAATGCTGATTTCTTATTGGTTAGTTTGTGCCCTCCAGGAGTGATGAACAGTTTCATGACAGTGTGGTAAGTCTTTTAATAAGACCGGGATCATGTAATATAGTTTTGTGTGCACAAGCCTCTTCAATTTCTATTTTCTGCGTGTTTATTTACTTAAAGGGGGGTTCACCTTGTCGATATATATAAAGTCGATATATATAAAGTCGATGCCTGAAATTTGACGAGATAAGGGGGAATAATTCAAGGAGATGTTAAAATTAATATTTCAGATCTGATTTATCAATGTGTGTGAACTTCTACACAGATTATATTGATAGTGAACCCTCTGATTTTAAATATTTACTTCAAATAAGTAGATTGCATTATAGTGGCTATAAATCCTTTGTGTTAGTTATTTTTAGTACTATTCAATATAACAATATCCAAATCCACTTAGTTTTTAGTCCATATTAGCCATATTTATTTTCAATAAACGTTACCTCTTTTCTCTTGCATTATAATTTTTCCATCCTTGTTAAGTCTGAAGCTATTATGGTAATTTTATTTTGCAATTCCCCATATATGTAGATAGCTTACCCTCCAAAGAAATGTAACCTAAATGATTGGTAAATGAAACTTTCATGAAATATGTATCTTCGTGTGATAAAATATTGTTAAATTTGTATCATTTGTACGTACATTACAGGAATCCGTTGGCTCAGTTGGAAGAAGAGAAGAGGGAGCACGATAATAAAATGAAGAAAATGGAGATCGATATGGAGCAGGTGTTTGAAATGAAAGTCAGAGAAAAGAAACAAAAACTCAAAGATTCAGAAGCAGATGTAAGTGTTCTCTGTGCTATATATGTGCATTTTTATATGAAATTATTTTAATTTAAAGAAAAATTTATTTATTTGTAGCTGCAAAGAAGGCACGAACAAATGCGACGCTCTTTGGAGCAGCAAGTGCGTGAATTAGAGGAGAAGAGACGAGCGTTTGAAGCTGAAAAGTTAGCATGGGAACAACAGACTGGACACAGTATTGAAGAATTACGTAGGCGCAGCCTAGAAGCTAATTCAAAAGAGTAAGTATCACTTAAATGTAAAAGATTTGCTTCTGGTTGTCTACATTTTCATAATTGTCGTCATTATATCATTTTTGATGTAAAAAAAGAACTTTAAATATGCAGAAGAGAAACTGCTTCTTGCACGAATGGAAAGGTATTTAAATTGCCAAGACATAATTTTATATTTATCGTAACTAGAGAAATAGTACAGCTGGACAGTAATGATTTACAAATATTCTTCGTTTGAAATATCTTTACATTGCTTAAATCTTTGCTTTGACAGATCATTTAGCTAAATATGTGCAATAAAAACATTTATATAAATAAGCTTGTAGGCATAATCGTACTTTACTATAATTCACTACTACTAATCTCAGTTACGATTATTGATTACTTTCCCTCCTTGATACGTTCTCTCTTGGTAAATTTGGCCAATCTATTTTCTCAAAATTTACGTAAAAATAATTTTTCACGCAGGAGAAGTAATTTAATAGCAGGAAATTACTAATAATTATTAATAAGCATGTATAACGTAACCATCCTTCTGAACTTAATTGACGTTCATTTAACGTGCATTCATTCAACATTAATTCAACATAATTTCGTACATTCCCTGGCAATTTTGTCTCGTTTGAAGATGATTAGTTTTAACAGGCATTTGTTAGACTAAATCGCTCAAAATATTACTGCTTCCAAGCTTTCTTTTTTTTTTTTTT